GACAGCACTGCAGGGTCTTGACTTGTTGTTGTTGTGGTAGTAGTAGTAGTAGTAGTAGTAGTAGTAGTAGTTTTTGTAGTAGTAGTAGTAGTAGTAGTAGTAGTAGTAGTAGTAGTTGGTAGTAGTAGTAGTAGTAGTAGTAGTAGTAGTAGCAGTGGTGGTAGTAGTCGTCGTCGTCGTAGTTGTTGGTGGTGGCGCTGCTGCTGCTGCTGTTGTAGCCGTGGTGGTTGTTGATGTTGTTGCTGTTGCTGCTGCTGCCGTTATTGTTGTCGTGGTCGTACTGGAAATAAGAGTAGCAGTCCGTCGTCGTTGTCGCAGCACTAGAAACAGCAGCCGTGGAGGCAGTAGCAGTTGTTTTGGACATTTTGCTCTGATGGAAAGTCACTATTATCATAAACACCATGACGATCACATCGAAAGATCATCCGTCTCAGTCGTTGTCATCACCATCATCATCATCATCATCATGGCTGCCATCATCTCCCCACCACCATCATCATCATGACAAGCTTGAGGCTTAAGCCTTTGGGTGCAATCAAACAGGTCGGGAAAGACCATGCTGCACCGCGGGCAGATATCGTGCTTTGCAAAGACGAAATTCTTGTTGTTCACACCTTGCCGGGAAAGCTCATCCTCCAAAGGTGGCCGAAGATGAAGATTTCAATTTCTTGTGTCAATGTACGTTTGACAAAGTACCAGACCCTAGCGTAGGAAGGACGCCTAATTTGGATCTCAAACCTCCTTTGACTGACTCGTCAGAAGCGGAAACTTCAGGACTTGTGGCACTTGAGCTGGAGCTAACAACTTTCAGTATGTGGGCGCTGGGCGAACATCACTACCAGACCAAGATCGGACTTCGACGTGCCATGCTGAGCATGTGGTGCAAACCGAGGCCGCTCGCAGTCTGGTGACGGGCACTTCCAGTCGGCGGGATTTTCACCGCCTGGACTCTACTGTGGCGCGATATGCCGAAAGGTCTGCAACAAAAACCCGAACCCTAAAATCACTATCCTTTCAGACTGCCGAGGGTTCTGTTGCAGCTGTGGCTGCGGGTTTGCGTGCTGCTGCTGGCGGCGATGATGGTGGGGTAGTTGGCGTAGGTGCTGTTGCTGCTGTTGTAACCGTTGATGCTGCTATCACTCGGGCATCCGATAAGAAGCGCTGCTGCAGATGATCATGAACATGATAATGATGATGATGATGATGATGATGATGTAAGCTTTAAAACTAGCTCCAAGGCCTGGCAAGATACGTTGGTCACAAAGCTTCAAAACTAGCTTCATGGCCTGGCAAGATATGTTGGCCACAAAGCTTCAAAACTAGCTCCAAGGCCGGGCAATATTTTGGGTCTTAACCGCAACAGCAGCAGCAACAGCAACAACGGCAGCAGCAGCAACAGCGACAGAAACAACACCACGGCAGCCGCAGCGACAGCAACAACAGCAACAGCAACAGCAGCAGCAGCAGCAACAGCAACAACAACAACCACAACCACGACCCTGACCTTTGAAGCGAACAAACTTCTTAACCTTCAGGATGGACAAAAGCGGCACAACTGGAACAGCCTTCAAGTCTCTAGCACCTGTCCTATATGTCTTCCTGTATCACCAATTGATGATGATAATTAGTTAGAGCAAGAAGAACCACAATTATTCGTTCCGTGTTAGTAGTTGTTATAACTTTAGGATATTTTAGGATGACTATTGCTGTGTCATCATATTAGCACTCCCCTCCGGCTGGCCTCTTCCAAGGTTGGCCCAAGCAGGCTTGCCCATGCCGCACTGTGGGCAGCTTTCGTGCTTGCCCTCAGCGAGTGGAGTCCCAAAGCCCTACTGTAGGGGCCCTTAATAATTAGAATAGGGTTTTGGGGGTTCCTTCATATAATTATGGTACATAGGGGCCTTAATAACTAGAATAGGGTTTTTGGGGGTTCCTTCATATGATTATGGTACAATGTACCCCAAGACCTTATTCAAATTATCAAGGCCCCTATACTAACCCTAGGGGATGGCTGGGGGGCTTTTGGTCGAGGGCCGGCGGTGAGGCTCCAGGCATCAACACCTGAGAAAGTTGGACCTTGGCCTCTGGTCTCGAACCCCTAAACCCTTAGACCCCAAGCCTTAAGCCCCAAATCCGAAACTCTTCGCCGTAACTGGGTCCCGTACGAAAACCATTCGGGTATTGTTCACGCAATCCTCGTTCGGACCTCGGAAAGGGAGGAAGCCTTGAGGCCCTAAAACCACGAGCCCTGTCAGTGCGTAACCTATTTGTAGTAATCGGGGGCTGCCTCAGATTCCCGGCCTGTCTCATGGCGATCTACCCGCCTCTTCCCGCCTTCTCCCCCTTCTCCATGTCCTCCCATGCCGACCTCCCTCCTCCCCGCAAATCGTTTCGCTGTGATCTCAAGGCTTACTCTCGCGATTTCTCGTCGACTGCGTGGTCTGCGGCAGACCTAAGGGCCGAGTCACCGCGGGCCAGCCAGTGTACGACGCAAGCTTTAGCTTGGCCCTTTCCGGGCGGCACATCGCGGCACCACTACCCTCGACCTGCTTCACCGAGGGTCCGGATATATCCGGACATCGTCTCAACCTGGGACGGTTTTTGAGCCTGTGTTTGAAGCTTCCCCTCTGGCAAACGTGTGCGAGCGTCCTGAGTATCTTTCGGGACGGTTTCGCAAGGGTAAGCTGGGATGATGCACATCTGTGGCTACGACGCTTGTTCAACCGACTCTTCTGTTCTGACTATTTCCCCTCGCTGTCATGCAACAACCTTCCCAGGACCTCAGCTGAAAGACACTGCTCTGATCTCGTGGCTGGGAACCAGGCACGGCCAGTCCCGCAGATTGAACTGCATGCCCGTCATTTTGGCCAGGGTGGCCATCTGGGAGGCGATGCTGGGCGGCTTGAGTCTTCGGGACTGTCAAGGTCTAGCCTTGCAAACAGTTGCAGCTGTCGGCTCGGTCGGAGACGACAGAGCAGATACTCGCGTGTCCCACATGAACAGAATAGGTCACAACAAACGACGATCCCACCATCTTCCTTGTCAGAGGCTACGCCACAAAGCAAAAGCCCCACCGAGCTACAAGCTGGAAACTGCACTCACAGTTGAGCAAGCTGCAACATCGCTAGAATCCTCAGGCTCCCACAACGTTCTTCATCTGAGGATCTGAGCCAGCAGAACAGGGCTGCCATCATCACTTCACTAGTTTAAAAATATGAAGCCTTGCTCCTGGTAGTCTTGGTAGTGGCGGCCCTAGCGCAACAGTGGCAGCTGCTGTTGCAGTTGCTGTAGCTGTAGTGGCAGCCGTAGCGATAGCTGCAGCAGAAGCAGCGCAGTAGCAGTTAGTAGTGTTAGTAGTGTTACAAGTAGTAGCTGCTAGTAGTACTGCTAGTAGTAGTAGTAGTAGTAGTAGTAGTAGTAGTAGTAGTCGTAGTAGTAGTAGTAGTAGTAGTAGTAGTAGTAGTAGTAGTGGTCGTAGTAGTAGCAGTAGTAGTAGTNNCAGTAGCAGTAGCAGTAGCAGGTAGTAGTAGTAGTAGTAGTAGTAGTAGTAGTAGTAGTAGTAGTAATAGTAGTAATAGTAGTAGTAGTAGTAGTAGTAGTAGTAGCAGCAGTCGTAGTGTACTCGTAGTAGTTGCTCTTGTTGTTGTTGTTGTCGTAATAGTAGCAGCAGTAGGGGGAGGAGGTAGAGGAGGAGGAGTTTGAGTAGCAGTAGCAGAAGTTGTCGTCGTCGTTCTTCGGTGACCCAGTGCCGGGCGCCGAACCCATGCCGCCGCAGCCACCACCTGTCCAGGCGCCACGGGTGCCACCGCCACCGGTGCCAGCGCTCTGCACCTCAAAGCGGGCTCCGGGCTTTTAGGCTTTGGGTTTCAAGTAGCTCCTCCCTGGACCGTACTTCGGAAAGGCTGCGATGCTTCAGGTTTCTAAACATTCTGGTGCAAGCCTGTGGGAATCTGGCTAGTGATAGACATTCGTCTCTGGCCTCTAAGGCTACTGTATAAGTCCCTCAACCCCTGGGGCTGCCATGTGGTTCAGTAGAAATGTGATTCAAATCTCCAGAATTCCTGACCCAAACCCTGGCAATGCTCGGCTCCCACGCGTACGATGGCTTCTGCCTGAGCTTCTGATGCCAGCAGACACCGGACACATGGCAGATGCCAAGGCTACTCGGCTCTCCCTTCACCTGACTACACAAAGGACCAAACCGCAGAGTCGATGCTACCGCGTTTGCCGCCGTCGGACAGCTCATGTTAGGGTGACGGATACTTCGTCTCAGCAGAGGAGACAAGCCCCATACGCCAGACTTCGCATCTGGCTTCTTGCAGGCCAGGATAGACGAAGACTTGGTCCATCGGGAATCTCAACAGACAAACACGAGCGAAGCTAGTGCCCAGAAACATGCAGTTTGGTGGCACCTGCTACAGCTGATGTGAAGGAAAGAAACTGCTGTGATAGACCGGGACCTTACGACTTGCTGTAGAGTTGGCATGCTTCGAGCAGATGAACACGGACACGTAATGGGACCAGTCGAGAAGGTCGAGCCTTACAAGCACGACCTTATTGTTACCTGACGGTCGACTACCAACATGAATGAACCGAGTGGCACTATGCATGCTTCAGGCATTAAACTTAAAACTTGATTAAGCTGTGCTTTCTCCGCCCGAGCATCGTGGTCGAGAAAATCGGCGGCCAAAGCTAGACATGCTGCATGCTGTTTCTATGCTGAGGACGACGGAATCAGCTGTGGCGGCCCCTGAAGCAATCGAAAGTTATCGATCAAGCACAAACGACAGTCTTCCCACAAGGCGGATGCCATGAACAAACCTGGGCAGGGCTCCAACAACTGGGCGTGGCAATCGCACACGAAACTGCATCGGATCATCGGGCGCGTGTTGGAGGTGTTGCCAGCAGAAGTACTATCAGGCCACCCTGCTTCCAAGCCATGAGTTGCCTGCTAGCGATCTCTGCCGTGCAGTTTCTGCCCTGCATGAACCGGACCAGACTGCAACATGCCTGGACCGGGATTAACCGAAGGGCAGAAGCCGCTGGAGTCAAGCCATAAGCCACGCAGATCTCTGTCTACCGGTTCACCGTGGCCACAGAGCCTTCCGAAAGGCATCCAGGAACAACGAATCATGGATCTCGTCAGCAGGGCGCCACAAAGCAGATTCAGATCAGTAAAATCCTACCCAAGATCTTATGAAGTGATTGAGAGTTTTGAAGCACGTTCAACGAAGTTCAGTGCGTCCCCAACTTGTCCGCAGCTTCACTGTCAAACACACTGCAACCGCGCTGCCACAAGAAAAAGCGGCGACCTCTGTCAAAGCCCAAAACTATGCACCAACATCAGATCTCGGGCGCGTGTTGGAGGCGTTGCCAGCAGAAGTACTATCAGGCCACCCTGCTTCCAAGCCATGAGTTGCCTGCTAGCGATCTCTGCCGTGCAGTTTCTGCCCTGCATGAACCGGACCAGACTGCAACATGCCTGGACCGGGATTAACCGAAGGGCAGAAGCCGCTGGAGTGAAGCCGTGAAGCCTCAAGATACTGACTTAGCGCAGGTAGGATGATCCGGTTGAGGGATCAGGACCCAAGGCTCCGGCGCTCCGCACTTGGGGCAGCTGCTCTTACTCGCGAAGACACAGTTCTTCGCGTTGACGCACCTCGATCACTGGAGGGAAGAGCAGAACCCTCCAGCCTAAAGAGGTAGGAAGCAGGGCTTCCGGGGTTAAAGGCTTGGGGATTCGGCTTCGCTGAGTCTTCAGCTTGGTTTAGGAATTTGGGCCTAAAGGAGCCGGCCTTTCGTTTGGCTGGCACAGGGCTTGGGAAGTTTGTGGTACGCGTGCGCTTAGAGTCTCGTTCGGAAACATGGGCTCTGGGTGCTACAGCCATCGAGGACGCAAGGAAGACTCCTACAGTATCGCTTTCAGACGGTATGTCAAGCAGCAACAAAAACAGGCTGCACCTGGAGCCACAGCCCCTCTTGATCAAGGAGCGATCATGCTGAGTTATGGAACACCTCCCCGCAACTCCACGCATCTGAACTTGAAAACCCTCAGCTTGGAACGCAGAGTTCGGACAGAGCCAATCACCGACTGACTTGGCCCCCCTGGCGTCTTCGAGGCTTTGGATCTGGGGACTCGAGGTGTTGCATTTGCGCTTAGGAGACCCCAAACTCGAAGCCCTAAGTCCCACAATATCTTTCGGAGGGTATGAGAATTATACACCGGCCTTCTAGCTTCTGCTGCAAGTCATCCAGTCTACTCAACGTTTGTGTAGTTATGCATGCAAAGGACGCACTTTCGTTTCCGAGTCTTAAAGCACAGATAACCGGATTGTGGGAGAGGGGTTGAGAATGCCGGAGGTTACTGTGGCTTCGGATGGGATGAATCAGATCACCTAGCAGTCAACAATACACCCTGTCTCAATGTTCGCTAGTAGTCAATTCGAGCTGAAATCTAACCCAGGCGAACGGGTGCAGCGATTCTTTTGCTCTTCCGCGCTTAGTGTCTTCGGCGGCATGTGTAGAGAACCACACAACACTGCCACAACCTTAGTAGAGCATCGGAGGGACATGACTCTACCAAGAAGGGCGGCAGCACCATCCCGCGCCACTAGTTGCCAAAACTGCCATGACGGAACAATGGACACCAACGGAGACTATCTACAACAACGAGAAAGTGGTCAACAAGGATCAGGATGCGGTTGATTCTTGTTGCACTTGTAGTTTTACGCGTAACCAGTGGCAGCAGCAGCGGTACAAGCAATCCTCATGCTGGTACAACAAGAAGTAGTAGTAGTAGTAGTAGTAGCAGTAGAAGGAGGAGTAGTAGTAGTAGTAGTAGTAGTAGGAGTAGTAGTAGTAGGAGTAGTAGTAGTAGTAGTAGTAGTTGCTGTTGTTGTTGTTTTTGTTGCCGTTGTTGTTCTCGTCGTGAAGCAGCAGCAGCAGGAGTAGTAGTAGCAGCAGCAGCAGCAGCAGCAGCAGCAGTAGTAGTAGTAGTATCAGCAGCAGCAGCAGCAGCAGTAGTAGTAGTAGTAGTAGTAGTAGTAGTAGGTGTAGGTAGTAGTAGTAGTAGTAGTAGTAGTAGTAGTAGTAGCAGTAGCAGTAGTAGTAGTAGTA